CCGACGGATGCGTTAATCACGAAAATTGTTACATACTTTTTTATCCAAATTATATTGGCTTATTATATATTATAAACTGGCTTATTATCGTACGATGTGGTTTTAAAATGTAATATTTTAGCAAATATTTACTTTTCATTTATTCTGTATGCAATGTACAGAATTCAAGTGCATGTATCTTTAATGAACAAGTCCAATCTTACCTTGGCAACGCCATAACCCTTCGAACGTAGTCTGAAGAGGCAAGGAACGACGACCGCTGGTGAAACTGCAGCTATCACACTACCGAGAAGCAAGCCCCATATCCAAGGCAAGCCCAGCAAATATTTTGTAAGCACGGCCACCACAAGGGCCTCGACGACCCATGGAATTAAACCGAGTTTTGGTACAGTGATTTTCAACCTCTTCAAAGCGTTTGGATCCAAATCCAGGCCGGCTCTGGTGAGAATAATGACTAGAGCGATTTTTCTGTAAAATAAAAAAAGATTTTTTATCATTATTGGTTCTCATGACCTTACTACAAAAGAACAGTAGTTTGTATGCTGAATATAATAGTTTAATAAAACTCTAATACCATCAGACGTATTTTAAATCGAAAATTTAAGAATTTCGATAGTTTTGGTGTTTTCAAAAAATTGTCAAAAAGACAGTTAATAGATCATACGATTCATAGATTCAATGATGTCGATAACAGATATTTCATACAATAGGATCTGTTGTTTTTTATAAACTTCTAGTGCTATACTAGCTTTACATATACAATAGGCTCCAAGTGCTATTCTGGCTCTAGCAATACGAATGGTTGATAATATTTTTAACATTCGTGGTTTTGTAGAGCTATACATATACGATTGATCCGTAGCCTAACTCTGAAGATTTTTGTCTGAATCAAAACAGACTTCAATTTTGTTGCGGTTGTACAGATCGCTTTCTTAGTGTCCCTCTCTGGAAGTAGAAGACTCGCAGCGTAGATTCGTCGCGCTTTCTCAAGACTGCCGATGTAGGAGCGCTCGCTCAGCAGACCGAAACGGAGCTTTCTCTGTCCCTTCTTCGTCTAAGAAAACTCGTAATAGGATAAGTTTCGGACGGGCCGACTTCGCGAACCGGTTTCAGCAAAGTTCCATTCGGGGCTGTCTTTAACTATCTACTGGACTCAAGTTTTCGTCGAGTAGTACGTCCCGGGGCTGCTTTCCTAGATTCGAGTTTGGTCCTCATTTGCATGGAGACAAACGCCAAGCAACCGAACACTTATCTCGAACGTTATTTAAAGATAACTGATAAATCGATTTAACTATTTAGAAATTGCGTTAGAGTAACAACGATATTTGATGTAGAATGTTTGTACTTCTGAAAGAAAGTAGAATTCCGATTTAGTGTCTCCAAGATTTTCTAATTAGCACTCGTTTTATATGAACCGTTACACATTGATATGCATGAGAAAAGCGAACATTTTGCAGAACTGTTTTAGTTAAAGCATAATTTAACAGAACTTCGAACAAGAGGTAGCGCATAAAATCTACATTTTCGAGTTTCTGATAGAAGTACAACACAAGTAATGTTATTGTATGATAATAAGATTTGCAAGTAGAAGCATCATCACCGACTCTCATCTCGCAAGATCTTCTTTTGCAAAAAATGTAGACTAATGCATAAATTACAACTTGTGCATTGTAGCAGACTTAATCAATTCATCCCCTGTTTTGCAATCCAAACGATTTACACACAGTTTAATAGAGCATTCTTATCGTGAAAATGTAGTACTCTCTTTTTGCATTTTATCGTTGCAATTATTCATGAAAATATTTATCATGCAAAACTCGAGGAATTTAGTGCTGAATTGAACTTGAATATCAATTTTCTGATTCATTGTTGTTCGCCTAACAATACCTCCTTTAATTTTGGACGAGGTCTGAGAAGAGATCCGAGATATACGTTTTCGTAATTCGAGTTTTCGCGTGGAAAGAAGCTGTAATGAACTCTCGGTCCAGTATTCTCAAGCATTTCGACATCGAGAAAAAGTTTCGCTCTGGCGACGTTCGATCGATTCGAATTGAAATTCAACGAGGTTCTTATAATCCTTTTTCTTTGGACCGCTTCCTCTCCGCACAAGCTCGGCGGAATTTTCAAACAAAATTTGGATTCCGCTTTCCACCCTGGCTGCCTGGACGCTGATTGAAAAATAATATCGTTTCCAGGTCGGAGTTACAGAAACTTATCGGAACGCAAGCCCCAGACAGGAACATGGTATGGCGTAAAATTAAAAGGTTTACACGCCATTTGTCACCAATAATTTATCAGATCTAGTAATAATTAATGTAGTTTTCCAATACATAAACGAACACTAAAAAACGATACTAATTGTTACTAGACCTAATATATTTAAATGTGAAGTGAATACCGTTAATCGCCTATAACCCATGAAATTAAAGAAAATTGATTTGCAACACGCGATGAAACAATCATTAAGTGTGAAAACAGCGTTACGGAAAATTTGTTTCTGTTAGAATCGATAAACCGGAAAATTGTTGTCACAAGGGTGCAACAACCCATGACTATTTAGTTCGTCAACCGTGTATCCGCAGGTGTGTCCAATAATAGAGCTTTGAGTTCGATTCCGTTCTGGTCTACCGTCGAATTGTATGTTTCCAGTAATTCGAACAAAACTGTACTCCCTTTTCGAACGATTGCTCTCTGGACCTAAAATCTTCGGATGTTATCTTGCACTAACTATTTAAACAAATTCCATCTGGATACTTTGATCAAAAGTGAATTTGACGTGATTTTTTTTTAATGACTTGGGATTTAAGTTATTGCATGTATCTATAAAGACAAAATTATTTCATGCACCTAAGTTCTTCTAAAACTGAAAAATGTTACAATGCTAAAATGTTTTACTTTTTTACGTAGCAAACAATTGTACCGTTTATGAGTTCTCGAAAAGTATTTGTCCTCTTTCAACGCAATAGTCATTCGCGATTAAATACATATTTATAAGTGATCGATGGTGATGAAATCGTCTCGTGACTTTTTATCGTTCCATCAATAAACAGTGAGTGGAATGTGCATCATTGCTTTATACTACTCCACCGTATTTTATCAAGTCTTCTAAGACCTCGACTTCTCACCGTCTCGTGTGTTCAAAAGATAATAATTGATCTAGTGGATCAAAAAAGTGATCGATCTTCGACAAGTAATTGATCACATGATGTGATGGATACAGTAATTTCAAGATGTTATCGGTAGAATATTATAACAATGATTTATGACGCAATAACAGCATTTTTATACCTTGTAAATGAAAAAATATTTTTCTTCTAGTAAAGATAAAAGGTAAAAATCTTTAAGAAGATACTGTGTCCATCACAGATTTTCTACCGGATATCGGTAATCCCTTTCGTAAGGAGGTCGAAGTTTATCAGCAAACGAAGTTATAGTAATTCTCGAAAACGAAATCCAGGAAGATTTATGGACCAACTATAGAAACGATGTTAGAAAATGAAGTGGTACGGATTTGCAGGAAATGAGCACACGATTGGGAAAGGATAATGAAAACCTGGATAAAATGCATTCGAATTCAGCGAAACAATAATTTATGCACAAGTCTTTTTTTCTATACTACAGTATTCTAGGAACATCAATAAATTACTTAATAAAATAAATATTATTAAAAGCTAATGATTAAAAAAATGATCAGTGTAAAACAGTATCGATAAAAGGATAAACGTCCTGGACTTGGCTAATTTATCCAGTCAATTGGCGTATCTCGCGGGAGGAACGATTTTCGACTGTAAATATAAAACGCATACCGAATTGCATCGTTGCAAATAAGTTATTTAAAAACCGTCTCACTGGAAAATGTCCATTTCGGCCGGCAGCCACGCGATTATTTAAATATTTCAAATTCCGTCCCCGAGGGAGGCATTCCCCTTTTCAAGAGAAGCGCTTCAACGACTTAAACCAGCAAGGACGGAAGAAATATTACGAGAATTTACAATTCTATTCTTCTTTTTTGCCCGTCGCCTCGCGTCGAGCCGGGACTCAACAATGCCACTCGTTTGCATGTGCGGTCCGATTTATGTTTAATTTCGCGTGCCCATCGCCCGTTGCGAATTCACGATCACTACAATATATATGCATTAAAATTGTAACATGCATACTATTTCGTCATTAATTTCATCGATTTCTAATCTCGTATTTAAGACAACTCATACATTTTTTTATAAAGGATAATGTTTTTTTTTTAAGACACATTTATTGACATTGAAAGTTAAGAACTAATAATAACACGCATTTGCAGAATATAATAGTAGAAGTCAGATAATTCAACAAGAACAGCGTAATTACCCTACGTCAATCTATGTCATAAAGACAAATGATTGAAATGATTTTTCGAGTTGTGTCATTTTTACCGCAAGGGTACGTACGTGTGTACACTATTTTGCTATTCCTATCGTATAGATAAAAGTCACAAATACAATCATGAAGAAACGAATTTAACAACAGCCTAATAGAACCTTTTCTCTCTCGAACAAAATGCCGCAGTATAAAAGCAAAGGAGAAGACGAAGAGTTCTTGCGAGGATACAATAGCACCTGGACAAAATGCAGCTCGGGCAGGAATTATTATCATTTGGCGAGCTATTCGTTGGCCAGTTCGTTGTTTCCCGACCAAAATGTGTCGCGCGAAGAATACTTGACCCACATCTTGAACGGGCCGCCACGCCGTGTCGGTGAACCGTGCTCTAATTTGAATTAATGGTTCACTGTAATGCGCGGAAAACAACAACACCCGCATCGAGCGAACTTCACACACCGGTAAGTTCAATCGTTCGACCTTCGATCGTAGTTGGCCCCGACCTCGTTCCCTGGGACTAGACGCAGTTATACACGAATCTGTTCAAATTCAGTTTTTGGCGATCATCTCCGTTTCTGATTATTATTGTCTCATTGAATCTCAATCCTCTTATCGCATTATAACAAAAATTGCATTGCGAACAATTCAGTTGCGTGAACATCTTCACTTTCTTTCAGAATTTCATACTTGCTTTGTAGTCTTAAGAACCCCATTAGTAATCACGTGGCTTTTCTAAAATTCATCGGTAAATTTTTTTACTCTGTTTTGCCGATGATAGTAACAAATATAAAAGTGATTTACTAGAATTGACTTTTCGTTCTTATATAAAAAGATTTTCAAGTCGGCAGATACCTTTTTGGCAACACGTAATGGTTATCGATTCGTAAGTGAATTTAATAAATATTATTTACGTAGAATGAGCAGTCAAAAACATTGATTTTATTTATATTCAATTGAGTTCGGAGTTTTAAAAGAACCACCTTAAGTAGCATGGGCAAAGAATAAGTGGATGTACGGCTGATTAGCGAAAGCGCATCGACGCAGGAAACGCGCAGATGCGTCTTTTGCGCGGATCGAGATTGTCAGGGGACGCGAACCGATGCCAGGAATCCCAG